AGTTGCAAATGGAGTTGAAGCTGAAGTTGAAGCCATTAGAGATCTATCTCTAAAATTAGATGATGGTTTTAGACTGCAGCTTTTCAGATATTCTTTATGTACCCTCTTTGCGTAGAAACTTGACAAGTGTTTCAAGATTAGATGATGATGGATATGATTGCCATTTTGGTAATGGCAAATGTAGGATTGTGATTAATAATAAGTGTGTTGGTCTTGCCTTTCGACAAGACAAACTTTGTTTATTATCACTTTCTAGAATGTGAATGATGTGAGCACTAAGAATGAGAATGCTTCCTTGTCTATCAATGCAACAAATAAGCAGAAGAGAGTGCATGATGTATCTTCAAAATGGCACTGTCATTTAGGCCATATTTTGAGGGGGAGAATAGAGCGATTGATTAAGAAATCAATACTTCCGCCTTTAGAATTTTCAGATTTAGAGCAATGCATCGATTGCATAAAAGGAAAGTATGTTAAAAAATAAAGAAAGATGCCAAACGAAGCATAGAAATTTTAGAAATAGTTCACATAGACATCTGTGGTCCTTTTCCTGTAAAGAGTGTTGATGATTATGATTCATTTATAATATTCACAGATGACTATTCTTATTTTGGCTATATTTATCTAATTAAGGAAAGATCGAAAGCATTGGATAAATTTAAGATATTCAAGGCTGAAATAGAAAATCAGCACAACTTAAAGATTAAGGTAGTAAGGTTCCGACCGTGGGGGAGACTACTACGGTCGACACACCCCATATGGTCAAGTTCCTGAACCTTTTGCAAGGTTCTTATAAAAAAATGGCATAGTAGCCCAGTATTCTACACCGGGCGAGCCTCAGCAGAATGGAATAGCTGAAAGATGCAACCATACCTTAATGGATATGGTGAGAAGCATGATAAGTTACTCTTCTTTACCGATAAGTTTATGGATGGAGGCGTTAAAAACCACTATTCATATTCTTAATCGAGTGCCAAGCAAGTCGGTGCCCAAAACACCGTATGAATTGTGGACAGGAAAGGAACCCTCACTTAACTATTTACGTGTGTGGGGTTGTCCAGCTAAGGCAAAAGTTTTTAACCCAAACATAGGGAAGCTAGACTCCAAGACAGTATGTTGCCATTTCATTGGCTATCCGGAAAAGTCAAAAGGTTATCGCTTCTATTGTCCTGATAGACAAACGAAGTTCATAGAATCTAAACATGTTGTCTTCTTAGAGGATAATATGATCAGGAGAAGCATGGTAACACGAGAAATTAGTTTTGAAGAGAAGCGGGTATACGTGTCCACTCCTATGGTTTAGGAGCCATTCTTCATGTTACCTGTTGTTGCTGTATCAACAGTGCAAGACACTGTAGTAACAACACCTATTATTAGTTCTCCTATGGCAACAATGAATGAACATGAGGAACCTGTCTTTCAGGATCCCCTAGAACCCATTATCACACATGAGGGAGAGCAACAACAACCTCATATAGAACAAGTGTCATCTAACGAGGCCCCTAAAAGGTTTCAAAGAGTCAGGAGAGTCAGTCATTCCTAATGACTACGAAGTTTATGAATGTGAGGAATTTCAAATGAAGGGTGATCCCACCTCTTTTGAAGAAAGCCATGAGAAACGCTCACTCATCCAAGTGGCTTGAAGCCATGGAAGATGAAATGAAATCAATGAAAATCAATGGTGTTTGAAACTTAGAAACAATTCCTAAAGGAGCCAAGACTCACGGGGTGGGGACGCGGGCGCCGATGGATGTTTTTTATATTTTAATCCTTTTTATTAAATATTTACAGATCTGATCTTTTTGATCGTGTCAGTCCGTGGCTGGCGTAAAAAAAATAACGTTGTCGTGCCACAAGCATACCCAAGCTTATATTTTTAGAAAAAGAAATATCTTTCCATGTAATGTTGAATAAATACACTTTTTATATGAAAGGTGTGGCCCTCGATAAGATACATCTTTCATTTAAAAAGTATTTTTATGCGACATGAAATAAGAAATATATGGTTTTTTCTAAAAAAGATAAGCTTTGGAACGCGATTAGTATATCCCTTAATTTGGTATTATTTTCTTAAGTATTTTAACAAACTCAAATGAAGAACTTCAAAAAAAACTTATAGATCTCATCGATAGCTACAACTTTCATATAAAAAGTATCTTCATTTGACATATTTCAAAAAAAATATAATTTTCGTGAGGGCAATAAGCCCCGGTGCACAATTAATATGCTAGTGAAACTTTGTATTATTTTCTCGAGCTTTCTTAACAGTATAAAATGTAAAAATTCAAAACTATAGAGTTGTAGATCTCATTGAGGCTGCAACTTTAGTATAAAAAATATCTTCATTTGACACTATAAAAAATATTATTTTCTGATGCGATAAACGATAGTACACGATTATTATGTTACCAAAATTTATATTACTTTTTAAGCATCTTAGCGACCTAAAATGAAAAAAACTATAAAGAAAGTTGTAGATCTCATGCATTTATAGAATGAAAAACTCAAAACAAATTTCACGCATATTTTACCCAATGTATGCGTTGAGGAAAATCCATCCAGCAGCGTGCAGCCGCCGATGAACACCTTGGACAGAAGCACACTATCCCGGCGTTGAACAGCTGCATGACGCCGGCGGCGGTCTAGGGCCTGTGGGGGGCTGGGGGCCAGCTCAACCACGGGAGCATCATATGGTCTCACTCGGCCCAGAGGAGCCCAAAACCGTGTGATCTGGCATGCGTTCTCTTTTTTTTCGATAAACCTTGTTCTTTTTTTTTTATAATTGATCGATTTTATCTTTTTTTTTTTGTTCAAGGGGTTTGCCTTCCACCGGCACTTGATAATTTAAAATTTCAACAATTTGTAAAATGTCACCTTTTCAGTATAAAGGTGACACAATATTTGTAAAAACCTCATACATTGAAATATTCAACAATATTTTGACAGTAATATCCAACAGTTTCTGACAACATGATTAACAGTTTGCTTTTTTAAAATATTGTATTTGGATTGTTGCAAAAGTACATTTGTCAAATTTCCAAAACGTAGATAAAATTTATTCATATCATGTTCCTTTTTCGCGTTAACTGTCAGCAACACCACCATGGTTCATGATACATTCGAAATGAGCACTTAGTTTGGGCCGAAAAACACATTTAAAATTTTAAAATACATCAAAATCTTTCCCACACACAGTCAACAGATGCCACAACCTGCTAGTTAGTGACCACTGACCAATGACACCCACCAGTATAAGAAAATCAGGTTATAGCGATTCACTTGATGTGGGGAATTTCTTTTTTACTTGTGAGGAACTGAATTATATATATCCGTTTGCTTAGCATCGAGATAGAATTTTGAAAAAGGAATATTAGCAAGATAATTTCGTCATGGACTGACATAGTATTATTATCCAAGTAAATAGTTTACCTATTTATAAAAAGTTGTATTAATGTCAGTTAGTGAAATGGTTCCTTGTTCGTTGCCATTGTCTTAGTTATGTGCATGCGTTGGGAGCTCATGATCAAAGTCAATTTGGACAGCTCGGGATGTCGGACTTCATGCATTTTCTAAAATCATGCTCTATATTATGGTTCCCAATTCTAAAAAACATAGAGAATGATTTTAGGAAAATTTCATATTTTTTTGAATTAAAACAGATTTTTCATGAATTTTCCAACTTTAAATAAGATTTTAGGACTTTAAAATGTATATTGATTTTAGAAAATATTTTGATACTTTTTAAAAAATATATTTTACAATTTTTTTATAAACTCTTATTGATTTATCTGAACTATCACAGAAGTCCAATTTATCTCCTCGTGGCTGACATGGCGCTACATAGGACGGCTAATGTGGTGTCATGTCGGTCAAAACCGCTTCCAAAACCGTTCAGGAAGGAATCGGACAGTTTCAATAGTTTAACGAGAGCAAACATCCGGTTTTCTAGTTGGAGATAAATGAAACTATCCCATAATTAAGGGGGGTCAGGAGGACTTTTTTCTTTGGTTTCCACTAGGTGTGCATGGGCCGAGCAAGTTCAACTGAGGCCGTCTATATATGTGGGCATGTGGGAGCAGCTCAACCAGGGGAGCATGGTGTCACTCGGGCCAGCGCAGCCCAAAATCGTGTAATCTGGCACAACTTCTTGTTTATTCCTCTAAACTTCGTCAATTATAATTGATTGATTTTTGAGCTTTTTTTGGGAAGGGGTTTGCCCTCCATCGGCATTTGACAATTCAAAATTTCAACAGTTCGTAAAAGGTCACTTTTCAGTATAAAGGTGAAACAACATTTCTAGAAACCTCATATATTGAAATATTCAACAATATTTTGATAGGAATGTTCAACAGTTTCTGACAACAAGATTAACCTTTTGCATTTTTTTAAAGAATATTGTATTTGGATTGTTGCAAAAGTACATTTGTCAACTTTTCAAAAAAATAAATAAATTTTATTCATATCATGTTCCTTTTTACGTTAACTGTGATCAACACCTGGTTCATGGTACATTCGAAATGAGCACCTAATTTGGGTAGAGAAACACATTTAAATTTTTAAAATACATCAAAATCCTTCCCACACACAGTCAACAGACGCCACACACGGACCAATATCACCCACCTGTATAAGATAATCAGGTTATAGCGATTCACTGGATGTGGGGATTTTTTTGCTTGTGATGAACTGAATTATTATTATTTCGTTTGCATAGCATCGAGAAATCGAGATAGAATTTTGAAAAAGGAAAATTTGAAAGAGAATTTCATCATGGACCGACATAGCATTATTGTCCAAGTAGACAATTTACCTTTTTATAAGAAAATTGTATTAATGCCAGCTTAGCGAAATGGAAGGATTTCCCCTTTTTTTGTCACACGTATTCCCACTTTTCAATCTGCTCAGACGGTTTAGCCAAAAGATGAGATCAAAAATTTCTATCAAAATGCTTATGTACATCAAATTCTGCACTACATTTTTTTCTGTTTTTTTCTTTCGTCTCAAATCCTAGGGAGCCTAAGCAGCTCATGGCCTCTTGCTCTCTGAGCCCACTCCATGAGCACCATCCTTACTGCGATCAACTCCCTACGCAGCTCGTCGAGCTTTTCCTCGAGCACCGCCACCGTCTCCTCCAGCTCGTCGCACCGTCTCCTCGCAGCGGCCGCGACGGTCTCCGGGTAGCACCGCCGGCCACCGGCCACGGCGCATCTCACTGCGCGGCCGGCGGCCATCGCGGCGTCGAGCTCGGCCATGCACGGTACGCCGTCCTTCCTCCGCCGGTCGTACTCCGCCCTGACGTGCCTCTGCACCTCCTGGAGCGCGCACTCCCACTGCGCCACCACGGCCTTGCCGCCTCCGCCTCCGCCGCCGGCGGCGTGGCTGGCGACGACGCCGGACACCGCGCGGCGCGGCCGGAACGCCAGCGCCGAGCCCAGCGCGCCGACGGCGAGCAACGCCAGAGCGCGCGCGCCGGATAGAGCCTCGTCGTGGGCGCCGGGAGCACCGGACGGATGATGCTTCGCGTGCAGCAGCGCCCTCTCGCCGAGCTTGCGGAGGCTGGAGCCACACTTGGCGAGCTCGGCGCCGCACCGGCGCTCCACGGCCTCGCACTCCGCGAACGCCGCCGCGGCGCGGCGCGCGGCCGTCTCGCAGCCGCCGTGGCCGCCCTCGAGCCGGTGGAGCGCGACGCGCGTGGCGGTGGCGTAGGTCCTCAGCATGTCCAGCCGGTCCCGGAACCCCGCGCACGCGTCGAGCAGCTCCGCAGTGTCCTCGACGCACTCGTCGACGGTCTTCCCGTCAATGCCGATGGTGCCGGTGCTAGCGGGCCCGGTGGCGGCCGTCTCCGACGCGGACGACGCGACGAGGCGCCTCTGCGCGGCGGCGGCGAGGCAGAGCGCGCGGCCGAGCCACGCGGCGCTGGTGAACGGCGTTGTCAGCGGGTCGGCGCGGAGCTCGTCGAGCTCGGCGGCGAGCCAGCGGTCGTACGCTGTCCGGACCGGCGGCCACGGCGCCACCGCCGGTGACGACGACGGCGCTAGTCGCGTCGAGAGGCGCGAGTAGAAGGAACGGAGGAGAGCGGAAGACTTCTTCATGGCTTTCTGCGGCCGCGCGCGGCGCGTCTCTGGCGGAGGGGTGGTGCCTCCTCCCGTCTTGGGGCTGTGGTTGGTGAGATGGTCTCCGGGGCTCCGGGCGGGTCTTGCAGCAGAAATCGTAGCTTGAGATGTTGATGTGTGTGTGGTTCACTAGGAGGGCTGGTGATCTCTTTATATATCTGTCTGTGCCTCTGTGCTCTGAGTCTGCTGCCTGTGAATTTTTAACTAAGCCTTGTTTAGATACCCTCAAAATTCTAAGTTTTTTTACTCTCTCTCATCACATTAATTTTTAGCCGTTTACATGGAGCATTAAATGTAGTTAAAAAAAATAACTAATTGCACAGTTTAGTTGGAAATCACGAGATGAATCTTTTGAGCTTAGTTGATCCACGATTGGATAATATTTACCAAATAAAACGAAAGTGCTACTATTCATTAGGTTGAAATTTTTTGCAATCTAAACATGACCCTAGTGTGGCTATGTGCTTGTGCTTGGACTAGGAGCAGTAAATGATTGGAACGTGGAGTGTGGGTCTATGCTAAGGGCGTCCCCACAGCTGGCTATTCTAACGTGGACAGAAAAAAAGTAGAAGAGAAAGTATCCATTAGTGACGAACAAATAGCTGATCTATTCACGTAGTCCAAAAAACTAAGAGAGAAACATGTGGGTCCAATAGTACATAAAAAATAAGAATATATAAAATAATTTTTGTTTTTGTCTCTCACCTCCACATCAGCTAGCTACGTAGCTAACACTATTGCAGACGCCCTAAGGGAACATACATATTGTTGTGGTCCAGTCTGACACAACAATACAAACCTCTAGTTAGCTAAAGGATGCATTTACTGGTGGAATTATTTCCAAATTTCCAAAATTCTGGTTATTCCATTCAATATTCTAGTCAAGTTAAAGTTTGAATTTATTTAGTGGTTAAGACTCAAACTGATCACCTAGCTAGGGGACTTGCCGGTTCAAATCTTCATGGTTGTGTTCCATGTTTTCTTATCTCCCCTTTGTTTGCATGGCCCTCCCTAGTCATTGTAAGAAATTTTCAGAAAAATATGGTCTCACCTTAGAATCAACCACAGGTATATGACTTAAAAGTCACATTTCTCCTACAACTAAAAAGAACAAAAGTAAGACAATTTTTTGGTGCGGCTTTTTTTTAGGGTCGCTCCTCCCTTCCGGCCGTGCGATCCCCCGCGTGATAGAAAAAGAAACTGTCATCCCTACGATCACCGCCTGCTTTGAAGGAAACAAATCGATCACCTGAGGCCACATGCATAGAAGGAAACAATCATGCGGTGTCCATCTCTCGCTCGGTCAGATATCTTTCATCTCCACGTAAACCGGTTCGTCGATCAACGTCATGCCAACATCGACGCGCCCCTCCTGTCCTTCCCGTGGTGCGCTCTCGTGAATCAACGCCACCCCGCAAAAGACGCTGGACACCACAACGCCCTGCCGCCGCCGCACGCTAGGCACTCGTCGGCCGAATGCCACGACACCAATCCGGCCCTCAGACGCCGCCGGAACGCCCCCTCCTCATCCGACAGCCATGCAGGGTAGAGAGCTGTACAAGAAACATTCAACGGTTTATTTCCAGGCTATATCAGAGACTTTAATTCATGTCTTTTATTTGCATCAAAGAAAACTCATCCGAGGATGAGATTGTTGGCCTGACAGAAATGTTCAAAACACAATATGAATTTTTAAAATACTATTGTTCTTCAAAGAATCTTACATCTTATACATTCCTTTCCTTGCCTAGAGGTATATATTATTTAGATTTTCTTTGCTACTTAATCTGTGCAATTCTTTTTCCTCTTAGAAAAGAAATCATTGAATTTTATACTTGAGACATAATTGATCAGGCCTCATCAATGAAAGCCTTTCAACCAACAATAATTGATCCAGTAGAGGCACCTAAACCTTTAGTTACGCATACTGCAATTTAAGTTTCTAACAAGAGAGAGAGAGAGAGAGCGAGGGAGGAGGGAACATAGTGCTATGCAAAGTGAAGTATAGCAAAACTGAATCGTCAGCTTCACACAAGAAAATTAGAGCATGTTGATGAAACTTAAGCAACATTTGTGGCACTAAGAGTGGACACATCTAGATATCAGTTGCAATCTGCATTTTCTATCATATTTGCAGTTTTCTGAAGGGTAGACCTTCAGAACTTTTCACAGCTAATAAGCAGGGCTGGAGCTAGAACAGGAATGGTAGTTGAAAAGTTTGGAACATCACAAGTCCTAATAGTCATATATAATTTGACTAAATATGCTTGTTTGAGAAAAAAAAACAGAATCTCTAAGTTGTGGATTTTTTGCCTATTGGTGTAGTCTGTAGATTGTCTTTCCAAGCAACATGGGAAGAGATCTTCATTGATATGCACCAATCCAAGAGCACAGTGTGATATTTTTATGGAGTAATTCAACATAATTCAACACAAGATTTTGCAAATTGTTAGTTTCAATAGGATAATTGTTTTTTTTTGTGTGTAAATGTTGCAGCTCCTTTCAGATTATGATGCAGTGGCTTCTGGTGCACCTTAGCTTGTTGAAGAATTTGTGTGGAAGAAAGCTGAAGCAACTGCAGTTAAGCCAAAGATATGTCTCAATAGCATGTAGAATGCTAAATTTACTTTTCCTGCACAATTATCGTCGACGTGCCAGGTTACCAGTTGTGCTACAGGTCACTACCACTACCAGAAACAGTCACTTTGCCGTGTGCCACAGGCACTCGACAAAGCCCAAAAAACACTCGGCAAAGGATTTGCCGAGTGTAACACTCGACAAACAACACATGATATCTACAGTGCCGGCAAACGGCTCTTTGCCGAGTGTTTTCTACCGGGCACTCGGCAAAGACTTTGCCGAGAGCTAAAACCGACACTCGGCGAAAAAAAGTAACATGACGGAGTAGAAATGGTCACGGACGCGTTTGCCGAGTGTCAAATCTCAGGCACTCGGCAAACCTTCTGTATTATGATCCTCGGATACCAAGGTAATGAATTTTGATTATGGATCGAATGCTGTTAACTAGATTTTGTATATGCTTGGTAAAAGAATTGTTGGGGCAGTACAAAAGGCACAATCCAAATTATTCCATGGATTAACTAAACTTCAGTTAAATTTTTAGCAGATGCAGAGATAGTAAAATGAGAGTTTCTGTCTAATATTTTGGGGCTCTTCACTTAGAAAAAAAATTATGTTGTCTCATAGGAAAAAATATATTCTATGATAAAAAAACTATGCATGTGCATGTTCAATACTTAGGTGTACTACGTGATGGAGTTAACATGTCGGTTACAACAGTTCATATGGTATTGTCCGTAATTTGGAGGGTATTAAATTTAGGCTAGGTGCATAATAGGTCACCTAACTTTATTCTTGCAACTTTTACCTCTTTATGTGTTAGTCTTTGCCAATGGTATAATTTGTTCGCAAAGCTCAAGCAAGACAATTAGCAAAGATCAAGCAAGATGAGTCAATGAGGTTGGCCCTTAATTTTAGTGTTTCCAGCATGTAGACCTGAAATTAAAAAGTGGCTGCTCCTTGAGAACATCAGTGGTGCCAAATAAAAGATATGTATGTTATACATGGTGAGACTGGTGAACCTTATATAATTTCCTAAACGAATATTCCCACCATTAGTATCTAGGTTCATTTTCCTACGTTTCTTCGTGCTCCCATTAGCATATAATATAAAAGTATTGTTGTGTTCATCATGACTTTCAGTTGACTACTCCCATTAACATATATTTCCTCTGCCCTCATGGATTGGTAAGCTTAGACATTATAATGACATCAAAAATTTCGAAAATTTTGACTCTTATGGACACCCTCATGGATCGATGCAAAGCATTCTAATCCTACAGCATACACAAATGACAACCTTAAAGTTATGATATTTTCAAAGGGTGGACAATAAAGATCATCTTAGACGTTCTGGCATTAGAGTATATACGTGCAGACACATAGGTATGGTGGTGCAAGTGAGCAGCCAACAGGAGTCGAGAGTCAGGGGGTGTTTGGATCCCAAGACTAAACTTTAGTCCCTGTCACATTAAATTTTTAGATATCAATTAGGAGGACTAAACATGAGCTAATTATAAAACTAATTACATAAGTTGTGGCTAATTCGCTTGCCAGCGCCGTGTACAAGATGGTATGGAGATGTGGTGGAACTTATTCGTGGATTTGTTGGCGCACGAAAGAAATGGATATCGGAAATCTCTTCCTGCCGGTATAAAAAATGATCTTAGCCGCATCACAGAAAGATCTACACAGTAGAGTTTGTGAGCTTGCGACGCCACGCTCTCTATGACTGTGTAAATTTTACAAACTTAGCTTTTTGGATTAAATGTCACTTTAACGTCGGTCATATAATTTTACAGTATTGTTATCTTATCGTGCGATCCGTGTGTTTTTAGTACAAAAGTTTAGCTGTCCCGTAGCAATGCACGGGCACAAACCTATTTGTATATATACTCGAACCTGTGTGTATATAATTATATGGAGATACAGCGGAACTTATTCATGAATTTATTGACGCATGAAAGAAATGGATACCGTAGAATTCTTTTTGTCGATATAAAATATTATCTTAACCGTATCACGAAAAAGTCTATACAGTAGAGTTTGTGAGCCTGCGACGTCGCGCTCTTCATGACTGTGTTAATTTCACGAACTTTGCTTTTTGAATTAAATATCACTTTGACGTCGGTATTTAATTTAACAGTATTATTATCTTATCGTGTGATCCATGTGTTTTTAGTACAAAAGATTTAGTTGTCCCGTAGCAACACACGGGCATGTTACCTAGTGCTGTACAAAGGTAAAGGTAGGTCGTTTGGACTTCTTCCATACATACAACGATCCGAAGACCACATTCCCTAACTTCATCTGTTAGTTTTCCTTAATTTCATTCAGCTAAAATGAGGCGTTTATTGCTCGACCTTCAACAAATATTTGTGATGTAACCATTATAACAA